GGGATTCAGTTTGAAGAGAAAAATCCAATTCTCTAAAAAGAGCTATGATTGCAAAACTCAAATTATGTAAACGGGTGCTCTGATTCAGTGGCTCATGGTTGACTTCAGCTGGGGAGGAGAAAACCCTAACTACTTTTCAAAGCACCGTGTGACGTGAGCATTCATTTTGCTTTCTGACATGGAAGAAGAATTTCTGGAAAAAATGTACGCTTCTGCTAACATGCCAGCATTATCTTCTGAATCTTCTAACATGGGTTAGATCCCATTGCTTTCCTCAGCGGCTCCTCTCATTCATTCTAGAAAGTGGCACAGCCATTAGGAACAGTCTCTATCACCAAGTCTAATGTGGCTGCCCTTAAATGCGTGTCCCCGAGAAAAACAGCAACAGGGTTTCTTTCCTCTCTTATACAAGAAGGTGATTTGAGTCACACAAGGGAGGTGTCGTGGGTTAACTGTGTCCCCCTAAAAGAGATGTTGCAGTCCTAACCCCAGTACCTGTGAATGTGACCTTATCTGGAAATAGGGCCTTTGTAAATGTAATCAGGTTAAGATGAAGTTGACTGGAGTGGGGTGGGTCCTTACCTATGGTTGGTGTCCTTACAAGGAGAGGGAAATTGGGGTCCAGGGACACAGGAAGAAGACCACATGCCTCTGGAGGCAGAGATTCGGGTGGTGCATCTACAAGCCAGGATCACCAAGGATTTCTGGCAGCACGAGAAGCTAGGGAGAGGCACAGAACAGGTCCCTTCTTGGAGCCTCCAGCAGGGTTAACCATGCAGACAACTTGCTTTCAGACTTCTGGTCCCCAGAATTGTGAGAGAGTACATTTCTGTTGCTCTAAGCCCACCCAGCTGGTAGTAATGCTACGGCAGCTCCAGGAAACGAATACAGAAAGTGAGTACTTTTTCCCTCAAACATAACACTGGGGTCATCTAAGATGGGAAGGTCATGTCCCAGCTCTGCGGGGGACGCAGCCAGGCTTCTGAGCTGGTGGCCCAGGACAGATGAGGAATCAGCGATAGTTCCCGTCACACATACTGGTCTGAGCATGAATCCACAGCTATGCCCACGCTGCCTGGGTTAGCTCATCCAAAGGACTGATAAAAACCAACCCTTACCCAGAGAAAGCTCTGGGGAAGGGATAGGCATTCGCTGAGCCATCAAAGACAAAGCACAGAAGTGTGAGACAGTATGTTCAGTGCAGGGAACGCTAAGATCTCTTTGTGTTAGAGTAGAAATTGCAAGGAATCAGAAATGGGAATAGAAACACCAAATATAAGGAATGTGCTTTTCAAATTGTGAAGAGCTGAGCAAATATTAGGTATTTCCATCATCACCCTTCTTAGTGGGTCAGTGAGAAGACAAGTAAGTGTGCAAATCAAAAGCTTATTGATATTTCCTGGAAAATCATTATAAAGTGTTACATCATAACACAGTATTTTGGATGCATCTAGCTTCAATGCCAGACCCTAGAGATCTGGAAAGAAATCTAAACATCTGTACATTAAATATATGGGTGAATTTCCACAAGGTTCTACAGCATCTGGTTTACAGGTGTTCCTCACGCAAGCATTCAGTGACCATCTGAAACCCATGTCTTATAGACAGAAATACTGGCACACGTAAGAGGGCCTCGCTAGGTAAGGAGTGGGCGTAAGCATTGCAAACATGAGTCTTTCCTCACCTACGCTATTTTAATCTATCGTGTGCAAAAGTATAAAAATAACGTATGCCTTTTAAAATTTTTACATCATAAAAATTAAGAATTTAAGAATTACAGGGGTGCCTGGGTGGCTCGGTTGGTTAGGCATCTGCCTTTGGCTCAGGTCATGATCTCGGGGTCCTGGGATGGAGCCAGAGTTCAGGGGGAGGGGTTCCTGCTCAGCGGGGAGCCTGCTTCTCCCTCCACCCCCTCCACTTGTGTGCATGCGTGCTCTCTAATAAATAAAATCTTAAAAAATTATACAGAAATACAGAAATGACAAGCCTCGAGAAAGCACAGACTATAAATGTTAAGAAGTGTTGGAGAAGACAGCACAGGATGATGAGACTAAGTTAGTGTGATGATGAGGGAGGAGATCACCGCATGCCAGGGGAAGGACCACACGCCAAAGGGCGAGTTACACAGCCGCACTCCCTGCAGACAACTGATGGTGCCAGTCAGCTGGGATCCAGTTACCACTCCAAGCACCATCCTGTAAGTTAAGGGGACAGGGCCACAGTAGATGAACTCACCAAAACCCCTCATAATGGAAGGTGCATAGACAGGCAGAGGCGTTTATATGGGGGTGTTGCAATTTTGCGACCTTGCAGCCGCTTGCATGATCCCCAACCCCGCCGACCCCGCCGCGTGGTGGCCCGAGGCTGCGCTGAGTGGGCATCTGTCTTGGCTGGTTGCTGTCCACCCTGTCCTGGTTCTAAATCCTTGGGCTACCACCTCCTCTGCTGTCCATACTGAACCGTTCACAGCTCCCTGTGGACGGGCCGAGCAGCTGTGAACGTGAAGCATTCCCCGATCTCCCCTCCCCTAATTCACAGAGAATCCACTAATGTCATCATGTTTTTCTTCAGCCCAAATGGGGAGGATTCTTTGTTGGTGGTGCTGTTCTGGCTGCGTCTCAGAGGCCACGTTAATCTACCCAGTGCTGCAGGAGCAGAGAAGGAAAGCCTCTCGAGCCGGGGGTGGGGACATTATTTTGGTCAGAGGCTTATAGGAGTCTCCAGAGTAGCTTTGGGGTGTGAAAGAAATACACAGGGGACGAAGTTTAATGAACGCTACTGTGGGCTACACATATGGGCCTACTTTAATCTCTGCTGAGAAACATGGGGGTAAATAGAATTATTGAGACTTAATTTTGGTTGTTAAATGGGACTTCTTAAATGCAAGCCTCTGCTGGACAGGTGGGGGCTCCCAGGCTGAGTGGGGGGATCCTCCATACAAGTCAGCACTCCGCTGGACGGATGGGGGCTCCCAGGCTGTGGGGAACCTGCCGTGTGATCTCAGCACTTCTGGACGGATGGGGGCCCCCAGGCCTAGTGGGGACCCTCCACATGATCTCTAAGCCCTTATGGTTGGATCTAGGCTCACAGGCTGGGGGTGGGGTGGGCACCCTCCATGCGATCTCAGTGCTCAGCTGGACAGATGGGGGCTCCCAGGCTGTGAGGGGACCCTCCACGCGATCTCAGGGCACCCCCATGCCCCTCTCATGCTGCACCCTCCCCACTACACTGCACTTCACGCTCTGAATCCCACGCTCGCCTTCATTTGAGGTGCCACCTCATCCGTGAGCCTACCCTTGCTTCTTCGTCCCCAACACAACCCCCAAGCAATCAGACTCTTGGACAGTGTAATCACTCTCTTTGGGAGCTTCACCCCGTGGCAATTACCAGCAATGCTGGTGGAGGACACCGGAGGCAGGACCCGGATTAGCTCTCACGGCCGCTAAGTCCCCTTAACCCCGCCTGGGGCCCGAGGGTTCGCTGCTGTAGGCTTTGTACACTTAGGTCTTTTTAGAAAATCCGTTTTTCAAAATGAGGTTTTGATTAGGTTTTGGGGGCAAGGTTAATTTGGGAATTTGAGTTACTTTAGCCAGAAAATAGGTTAATATAAAAAAAATATTTCAGAGAAATTTTGTAGACAAGGAGCTAGTTTATGCTGATGTTAACATAAGGCAACACACTAAATATTTAAATGGATTTTAAATGACGGATCCTTGTCTGGGACGTTCTTTTTTAAGTTTACTTCGATCTCTCCCTTCTGCATTTTGTTAGGACGCTTCTCCTCCTGGAGACGAGACTACAGATGTCTGATTTCGTGGCTCCAGTCAGGCTGCTGTCTCAGGTCCTGGCGGGCCGGCTTGCCATTTTCCCATCTCTGCCACATAAACCTCCACATCTCCCCAAGTTGTAAGCTCCTAAAGATCCTGCCATGGGGCGGCAGGAGTCGCTGGCCTGGCAACCAGGAGACCTTGATACACCCGACTTCCCGTGGAGTTTGGTAATAACCTTCGAGGGGCCAAGGCGGGGCTAAAGTTGTATTTCAGAGGCCCCCCGCACACCGTTTGTCTCCCCATTATCTTGGGAGAATGTCTGGGGCTGAGCCTGTGGTGGCCAGGGGGCTGAGTCGTCCTGTTGTATGGCTTCTCAAGACTTTGGAAGACACTCATAAAAAGAGGGTGAGGTCGTGCCCTGGTGAGCACCTGGCAGAGGATAACGAGACCGCGCTCCAGCAAAAATTCTCCATTCTCCACCCACAACTCGCAGGACTGAATTGCTCCCGGCCTGGTCAGTCCCATCTGCGGCATGGTCTCATCCTCTGAGGCGATCTCAGTGGCTCTTCTTTGACATATACTTTGTAACAACCATGTTGATTAGCACTTACCTTTTCATGGGTTCATACCTTATCTTTCTAGCATAGGAGAACAAGATGCAAAGATACTGGTTTGTCCACTGTGGGACATGGCTACCATTCTGTGTATGCTGACTGGTGTGATTAGGAACTTTCTGGGATAAATCATCCGTGAATTAGGTCACAGGAGAATAATTTTTTTCCTGTCTGAGACTGTTTTCTATCACCTCCATCCTTAAATATGCTTGAGAAGTTGATCTTTGAAATTCCTTTATTACCTTTCTACATGGCCTGCGTTCATCAAGGTGTGAGATACTCACTCACCCACTTCCCAGGACTGTTTGTGGAAAATGCTGATGAGCTTTGGGATTAAGAGCGTGCAAACACTGGGATGGGCTGTAAACCATGAGGGAAGGTGTAAGACCCACCGAGGGTCGGTGCCGAGACCTGCTGGTGGGAGCCCGGACCGGCGTCCGGGCAGAACCCCCTGTTCTGGGACACGCTTCCACCGCTGGCCAACACTGCACCTGCTGGCGGCCCCCCATACCAGCGACCGGGCAGGACTCCCTCCTCCCCGTTCTGGGACCCGCTCCCGCCGCCGCCGCCTCCCCTGCCCACCATCGGCGTGCTGGCCTGCCGCGCCCCGGCTTACCTTCACACTTGAGCAGGAAGAAGTCGGCGCTGTGGCTGAAGGACGCGCTGAAGTACGTGCAGTTCTCCAGCAGGTCACAGGACAGGCACTGCCTGTTGAAGGTGCCCACCGTGCTGGCGCTGGAGGAGCACAGACAGCGGGCCGTGAACCCAGGCGGCGGGAACCAGGCGTCGCGGACACGGTGCAGACCCCCAGCCCGGCGCAGTGCTCCCCACGCGCTCCGGAGTCCCTGACGCTGCGCCTGCGCCTGCGCCTGCGCGCTGGGCCTCTGCATCGTCTCCCTGGGAACGCCCCGGAACACTCCGGCACGCTCCGCTCTGCGTCCAGCTTCCTGCCCGGCGGGCGCCCCAACTCCGAAGAGCTCAGCTCTCAGCACTTCTACTCTCCGGGGGCGCGCTCTCCGGTGCGCACTGGGTCACCCGCGCGTTCATCAGGCCCGTGCGCCCCCACTGGCGGGGGGGGGCACAGTGCTCGGCCCCAGGCCCTTTGGAGAGCAGGAGATGGCTTTCCAGATCTCTGGATTGTCTCCGAGGGCCTAGCGCTGGCGCACGGCACGTCAGGAACCCCCGGGAACCACAGAGACACGGGCTGAATTGAACTCTGGCCGTTCCGAGCGGGATCTCCCGCAGAGTCGCACCGAGAGCTGGTGCTCCTCACTCGGTGGGGCCGGGGGAGCAGGAACCCCGGGACCACGCTCAGCAAGCACAATTTCACGTCAAGAAGGCCTGAAATGTGTTTCCAAAAATGAAGATACCGAGGAGTCATTGCACACACCTGGAGGGAGTTCCTGCCTGAGCATCTTGCAGGGGAAGGGTCAACTCTGACCCCAGGCCCCACCGGAAACCTGTCTACAGGGGTTGATCCTTCGTGTCAGACAGAAGAGGGCCTTCTAGCCTATGTATAAGGTAGAGGAGAAGGTAGGCGGTCTGCCTTGATCGCCTTCCATCCTGTGGGGGACAGGACTGATCTAAGTTATCCTGGCAGACACGCAGGGCTACACGGAGAAGCCTGCCTGTGACCCATGGGTTTGCCAGTTTTCCTCCCTCCAAAAGGATTCCCCTGAGCCCGGCTTTTACACTCTCAGCATATGCACCGGCGGGTGAGAGGGGCTGCTGGTCCACCTGATGGGCTTCTCCAGTGTCCCCACCATGAGGAGGGAAGCCAGACTTTGGCTCCATCCAGACCGTGAGTCACCCTCTCTGGCCCTCAGGTCCACAAGGGGCGGCTGGTGTGCATGTAGGCCACCACCCACCCGCTGCTACCTCCTTCTAGTCTGGAAAACATCGAGCAAGTAAAAGTTGCCCTATTTCCACCTCTGGTGACCCCGTCGCAGAGCCCGACACCTGCTCTGGGGAGAACAGTCACTGGGGCAACACTGAAGAGGGACCGACCCTGGGAGAAGTCTCCTTTCCAGGATTCGGATGTCACCCCCTCTGCCTTCTCTGAGGTTACGGAACTGACCGGGTCACAGCGGGTCGGCCACGATGCGGGGTCGGTAGAGCTGGCCTCCGGCAAACACCCTACCAGACCTGCCTCCGACCAAACCCACTGAGAACGAGCGCCCCAAATCATTCTTGAACAACAGTGAGAAGGAAAGACCGTCGGTTATCAACACGAGAAAGTGAGTCGGGGGAGCTCGTTTGACAGAAGCAGAAAAAGAAAAGCTTCACATGCGGTGGTCTCTGCAATTCTTGCTCACAGTCTCTGGACGTTACAGGGTTGCCCTGTGGGGGGTTTGCCCGGCGCCTCCCCTGGTGCCCTGCGGCCAAGCCGAGGACCTCCTGGGTCGGTGCCCACGCACCTGTAGAGCTGTCTCCTCCTCGGCAGGTCTTCTGTGCTCAGGAAGTAGCTGCAAAGACCAGCAGGTGCACAGGGATCAGTGGGCTCCAGGGCAGGCTTGCCTTCCACTGCCAGGCTCTGCCTGCGCTTCCCGGGGACTTCTGAAGGTGCATGGGGACAGGCCCGACTCTCCTGCTCAGGCCCAGCCCCGCGTGTGCAGGCGGGGAAAGCCACAAGCCACACACCTGGGAGCGGGGGCAGGGGTGCGGGCTGTGCCGGGGGTGAGGATGGTGACGCGTGTCCCTGGACTCAGATGCAGGAATTTCTCTACAAGATTGTTAGCCTCCTGGAGGGGCAGGACCCAGCCAGGTAATCTCAAAGCCTGAGGCAACGACGCCGGAGGAGTGGTGTTCACCTGCCACGCGGAGCGCGGGCGGGACGTGGACTCTGGTCACAGGATCAGGGAGGAGGAGCGGCATCCCGGCCTGGCCTCCGCCATCTGAGCTGCGCCCTAGCTCCCCCGTTACCGTCTGAATAATCGGAATCACCTGGGGTCAGTGACTTAACTTCTCATCGTTTCTGCTTGCTTGTTTTTGGACAGGGGAGCCTGTAACAGAGCCCATGGGACCGCTGTGCGGAATGAGAGGATGCTCCCGGGGCACTTTGCGCACCGCCTGGAACTCGCAAACGGCACACGGCAGGCCTGCTGCGACCGCCACCCATTTCTCCCTGCAGGTCTGGCCGCTCAGCTCCCCCTGCTCAGTGTCTTGCAACTTTGGAAGTGGGGCCCTCAAGACACTGGACCTAGGGAGTCCCGTGTGACTGAAAGGAAGGGCCCGTCTTGCAGCGCTGGCCCGGGCCCTGGGGCTGGAGGCCTGCCCACTGCCGCAGCCGGCCCTACTCACATCTTATTCCGCTTCTCGTCGTAGGCCAGGATCTTGGTCACGTCCCAGTCCCCGGAGGTGATGGACTGTATGTTGTCATTACTGCTGTTAGGCTGAAGCACCAGACGGTACATGGGGGAGCTGGCGAGCCCCACCCGCGCCTCGTTCCTAACCCAGGAGCCCCGCACCACGGGGGGTGCCGTCTGCCCCCCGCCTGGGGCCAGCCCGTCCACCGAGCCTCCGCTCACCACCACCCCGGGCCCCAGCCCTCTCCCCTTCTCTGAACGTCAGCAACACAGGGACTGGCAGAGTCCGCGTCCGTGGCACCCGCCACCCACTCCCCCGACGGCCATGCCTCCAGCCGCAGCACACGTGTCTCCTGAGACACGAATGCTGCGTAGGTGGCCGATGCCGTTCTTTACAATGTGTGATCCCGCTACTGGAGTCTCTGCCATAGGGAGACTGGGAGGGAGGAAAGAGAGAAATGTGGGGAAGGGAATGAAACGGGGCAAGGAAACGGAGGAGAAAGGAAGTGGGGAGGGAGGGAGGGAGGGAGGAGACATGTCTGCCATTCTCTGCCATCATGTACAAGGATGGCTTGAAACCGTTTTACGGAGTGTTGCACTCTCTCGCCCTGAGTGCCTCACAGAGTAGAATAATTATGACAATAAACTGGAAGGGAGGGATGCATGACCCTCTCGGCAGGAACGGTGTGATCTGGAATGGGGCGTGGAGGGGCTGGTGTGAGGCACAGGCCCTCTGTGCTGGATGGCAGGTGCTGGGGGGGCGGGTGGGAATCGGATGCTGAGTAAGTCAGGTGGGGCCCGTGGGGGTCTTGGGAGCAGGGAGAGCCTGCAGGGAGCAGGGGAGTCTGGATGGCAGTGGGGGCCCTGGGACAGAGGGTAAGGGGACAGCCCAGCGGGTGGGGAGGAAGGGTGGAGGGCACAGAATCGTCAATCAAAGCCGTAGACCTGAGTCCTCGGGTCCCATAGTCTCCTGTCACACTGTCAGAAGTGCCATCGTTGAGCGATCTTTGAGCCATAATAGGAAGGGCCAATGCGACCCACTGCTCTGAGCAGGACCCCCGGACTTTGTGAGCCCCATTCTTGTATTTTTTTTTTAAGATTTTATTTATTTATTTGACAGAGAGAGAGAGAGCACAAGCAGGGGAGTGGCAGGCAGAGGCAGAGGGAGAAGCAGGCT